TAACAGGATTTACATACTTAAAACTTTTTAAAAAAGAATCTAAAAATGTGTTGAATTTATGACAAACCGTTCCTCTCCCACAGTCACCTACCGCATTGTAAAAGATATCTACAGACAAAACTTCTGAGAAAGTTCTCCCTTAAGTTACTGGAAGTTTCCATAATGGATCACTCCAGACATTATCCCTCCCAGGCCACTCTCATGTAATACTGGGATTATATTGTTTGCCTGAGACACTTCTAACTTGTATCAACACCGCTTCCTCATGCTTTTTCTGTCAGCAGGGGCTAGTGATCAGATTAGCATGGTTTGCTGTGTATTTTTTTCATCTTTTTTTTTTGGTGTGTCTGTGTGTGTGTGTGTGTGTGCTGCCAATCAAACAAACACTTTCCACCCAAGTCAGGAACAGAGGGATTTGGTTTTAAACAATGTTTATTCACAGGTTCCTTCCAGGATCTCCAAAATTACAGCTACGGCGTTGCTTAATAATGAGTGTTCAAAAATGATCCTCTGGGAAAACAAACAAGGCACAGTAAAACCAAAGGGCTGTTTCCTGTACAGTCCATCTTCACGAACCCTTTTGCTACTGCGAACACTGTGGCGTTAGGCTGCTTGCCAGTAAGCCGGGAAGCTGCTCGACCATCCCAGAATAAAAAAAACCCAACAAAACCAAACCAGACTGTTCATGGCAGGCAACCTCATGCCAGCCCTGGAAGCGGGGAAGGACTGGTGCACCACTGCAGTTTGGCTCTGCTTTACCTGCTGATGGTAAGGTAAAGCCTCCCAAAGCTGGGAGTCAGGCTGTGTCAGGCTCCAAAAAGATGGGTATTGGTCCCTCAGTCTGAAATTTTTATAAACCCTCGCCCAGTTGTGGTCTACTCTGAAAGCTGAACTCTATCCTAAATCCAGATCAGGAGTCAAATTTGACCAGGTCTCTTCCAGGCCTCAGATGTGTGATGCTCCTTACAGTCCCGCCCATGGAGGAGAAGCTTGATGGCACCTCAGCTCTCCAAGGTTTGCACAGGAGTTTAGAGAAGCGCCCTTACACAGGCTCAGCAGTAACTGTCCTACCCATCTCATGCCTGAAGTCACTCAGGATACATTGACCCCACTACTCTCCTTGCTCAGAAAATGAATTTCCATGAACAAACTCAATTAAGTCATGGGTCTCTAATACAAAAAAGGGTGCTGATCTTCTCTTGTTATAGGTAAACATGATATTTTGCTTTTCAAAAATAGGACTGCTGGTGGCAAAGCAGATGATATCCTTATACCATGAAGCCTGGAACATATGTGGAAGAGAAGCTGCGCTCGTGCCTAGTGTTTACAGAGAGATCCTCCCTCACTCTGCATACAGGAGTATCATGCAGCTGCAGTTATTCTTGTAGCTCATCCTTAGAGGCCCTTCCCATTTTTCAGAACAGGCCGATATACCAGATGAGATATGAAAGGCTGATGCTACTGCAAGGCTGCTGTTTTTATTTACTGTGCTGTGATACAATCCTAAATAACTACACTAAAGCTAGACTGGCCAGATGAAGGAAGGACTTTTTTTATCACATATTTTGACACTTGCATCTTTCCCAGGCTTGACTAACTGGATGTAGTGGTCAAGCAGGGTTGCTCCTTCATTTGGGTCCAACAACCCCCTGTCCTGGGTGCTTCTGGCTGTTGTCAAAAAGTGAAGAGGTTGCAACACCAAGTGCCTGATTCTGGGCATTCGTGAGTACAGCTTGCCTACATAGGTGACTGTGGACAGAAGACCTGAGCTATCTGCAGGGCTGTGCTTAGCACTGCTCTCTACTTAAGGTGGCATTTATTTTCCAAATAAAAATGCATCAGAGGCTTTTATGTCTGCTCCTCTTTAGGATTCTGAAATAGCTATATAAAAGGCAGAAAATATGACTTTAAGAAACCTAGCAACGCCCAAGGTTTGTTGATAACATGAAAGACAACTTTTTTCTCCCGGTGACTCAGGTATATTTTCCTGTGTAGATGATTATTGTCCAGTTACAACGTGTTCTGAGTGATTTCATCACAAAATCCTCTGGTCTGCACTGAGTACAAGAACATTTCCTGTTGTACTTCTACTCCTCTTCCCTTCCAACACTTCTCATTAGATTAAATATCCCTCTGGACTGCTTGTTCCTAGTCAATTCAGATGAGAAGCTGCTCATCACCAAAACACATCCTGAGTGAACGTTTTGTAACAGTAATTAAAAGAATACCCATGCTACTTGATGAAGTGAAAATGTGGAGCATTTGTTCTGACTTTCATGACCCTAGGACACACAGGGGAAGCCAGGACATGTGGTCGCACTGCTGCTTTTGTATGGGGAAGAGGGAGGTAGCTGGGTTGGGTGAAGTACAAAAGCTACCAAACCCACTATTTTTAGAGCTTTTCATTTCAAGTATTCACCCACAAATGTATTTAATGAACTTGCTGCTTCTGAATTAGGTGCTCAGACTTTTCAATGCATTGTTGAACCATTTTTTTATGGCTTTGAATGGCTGATGGCAGTTTAGTCTTGAAGATGGACTTCGGAAGGAAGGAGATGGGCTGCAGAAGAAAAGTTCCCGTTCGCCCACTTCTGGAACAGGGATAGCACCCCCCTCTGGTACTTCAGAATTTATTTCCTAACAAACGTCACTGAACTCCAGACCTCATGAGGATTCTTTTACTTCTTCTCTTTTTAGAATGCCTGTGGTCATCCGAGTTTAAATAATCCTGCATTTCAAACTAGCAATTTTCTTTGTTTACACGTTAAAGGAAACAGATGGTGTTCCCACAAACTATCTAGCCCAACATTCTCAAAACATCGTTAACCACTTAATCCATGCAGAGCAACTAACGGGGACCAGGTTTGGCTCTGGTGAAACATGTAATGAGCCTATTTCAAACTTTCAGTGCTGCAAAACAAAGACAATTGAGCAGAAAGTTTGTTCTGTTCTTGCTGAAGACCATGCTCTTCCAAAAGCAATTACTTGTGTCTTTTCCATGCCAATGGCATGCTCCTAACCAAGAAAAAGAGCTGAATGTGCACATACTTTGCAAAATATCCAGTCCTGTGGTTCACTGAATCCCTCTTCCTTAAATATAAGAGAAAAAAAAAACCCAACATTCTATTTCTTCTAGGATTAAAATGGATGTTAGGCTGCAATAGAGAACATTCCTAACTGAGGCAGCAAGAAGATAGTTCTTATCCTTATGGCAGATGCACAACACTGTAGTTTTCATTGTTTAACAAGGACAAAGAGCAAATTAACCTACTGAAGCCAACAGAATTACTCTGAATTTTTAGCAGCACTGTGGAGGGCAGAATTCGACCTGTTCCCATGGACAGCAATGCCTGGTATGCAGAATGATGGGAACCAA